AGCCCCGCCCGGTATCTTTATATGTCTTGGTGCAACTTCCTGGCCACGACACTACAGTCAGGGACAAGACGATGAGGGAGATGCTTCTTAGACCAAACCAAAGTGCTAGATGGGATTCCCCCCAGCACCTGACCAGGAGCTCCCCACCAACGACAAGATCTTACATCTCCTAGGAAGAAATCTCTATGTCTAAAAACCATAATATTCAGCAAAACTTTCCCAAAGACGACTCACTTCCTGTTCAACATGGACATTTGCCACTTTTGAAAAATATTTTTTTTTCTCTATCTGTTTCTTTCACAGCCATGATGATTACATATTCTTATACAGAATTAAACGCTGCTACAAAAAAAGATCTCTTACAATTTTCCGATAAACCTACTCCTTCAAAAGTTATTCACGGTTTTAAATTAACACTCGGTATATTCCTAAATTCTTCAACTTTTTTGAAAAATTATGATTATTTAAAAAAAAAAAAAAAAAAAAAACTGTAAAAAATATACAATTCTGATGGTGTTAAGGTTTGGAAATTAAGAAATCTTCAAATATAATGAAGTGTTAAACCATTTAAAATAACCGGATTTATTTAATGAAACATTCTTTAGTTGGATTTGATATTTCTGTCTTCTGACAGTTTAACAGCTCTTTCTGCAGTATCATTAACTACATACTCTCAAATTTTTCACAATTTCTAAGCCTCACATATATCCAGCATCCTTTAACCATACCGTACTGTCTCACTGCAGAAAACGTGTATCAATATTAAACCGTGTAAAAAATTGTAACGAATTTGAATTTATGAATATTTTTATTGTTTATAAACCATTTAAAAACTCTTCGTCATTATTCACTTTTAAAACTTCAACCATTTTCTAACTGATACTATAATAAATATTAGAATTAACTACCTGTCATAATTTTGTCAAAAAAGTTGAAAAATTTAGGAATTTACCGTGTGGTTAACTTTAACCGTGAGTAACTTTTGGAGGAGTAAGTTAATCGAAAAATGGTAAGAGATCTTTTTTGCAGAGCGTTCAATTCTGTAGAAGAATGTGTGATTATCATGGCTGCAAGAGAACAAGATCGCGAGAAAAAAAATATTTGCAAAGAGTGGTAAATTCCCATGTAATTTAAATGTGGTCTTTGGGGCAAGGTTCATTGTGAATAGTAATGGTTTACAATGGCCTGTTAGTTTTTTTAGACAATAAACTAAAAATTTAGAGGGCATCGTGAGAGAAATGATCATCTTTGTTGATTTTAATCAAAGGAGGTCCTCTCTTGTTGCAGTGAGATATATCTCAGCACAAGGAGAATGACAAATGAAAAGGTTGAAACCAAAGGAATCAAATTCGTACTAAAATTAAGAAAAAAAAAAGAGAATCAGAACAAAAAAGGTTTAAACCAAAGCAACCTATTTCACATTAAAATTAAGATTTTCAAGATCAGCAGGGGATCATACCCTGTAGCAATTAAAATTTATACATATTATTATAAATATTCGCCATTTTTCTTTCAAAAATATGTGTTTGAAGGTAGTATACCCAAAGGGCAATATATATTTTATTAAAGAAAAGAATGGAAAATCCCAAAAGCACTAAAAAGACACTAATAATAATAATAAATGTTCACTGGCCAATGGCGGGTAGTAGTTCTATTGTTAACGTTACAACTCCAGAATAGCATAATTATTGTACACAATAAAGCATATTTACTGAGTAATATTGAAGTCACCTGGCAGGTACCACCATCTCATGCAGTAGCGGAGGTAAATACTTCTTATGGGACGAGATATTCTATAAAATGTGACAGGTACAATCAAAAATTATTTTCAGTATTTTTCTGAGAATAAGGATCCCTAATAAATACGATTTTCGGAAATAAACATTTGCATTTTACTCTCTAGACCCAGCGGCGGCTGGTAGTACCGCAATTTAGTAAGTTAACACACAGCGCCTACTAAGAATAATTTAAAAATTACGATTTTTTTATTTTTGCGTGTGCAATATCAAAAATAAGTTTTGTTTTTATTTTTTTATAATTTGTGTCATATTTTACCGAAAAATTTTAAATATTGACAAGAGAATCAAGGTGACTGTGAATTTTTTTCCTCCTTTTGTTTCAGTGAGCTGTCTTGTCGAAATTTAGCTAGATTTTATGTATATTTAGTTGGCATATATACAGTATGTCCGCGGATTGTCTTTAAAAGAGTAAAAACTTTTTTATTATTGAGATTTTAAGAAAAATGAATTCTTCATAAAAATTTTTGCTTGTTAAGAATTTTTAGAAGCTTGACAAGTCTCTATGACAATTAAAACTTGTTTATTGTTGCTCAAGTGTCTTAAAGCTTGTGATTTTGGCATTGAACTTGTAATCAATCAGTTAATCAAGTTTCTTAAACATTACTGAGTGATTTCAGAAGCTTGACAAGTCTTTTTGACAACTAAAACTGGTTTTTTGTTGTCCAAATATCGTAAATCTCTTAATTTTGAAATTAAACTTGTAATCAGTCAGTTAGGAAAGTTTATTAAATATATGTGAGAATTTTTAGAAGCTTGATAAGTCTCTATGACAATTAACACTTGTTTATTGTTGCACAAGTATCTTAGAACTTTTGATTTTGGCATTGAACTTGTAATCAATCAGTTAATCAAGTTTCTTAAACATTACTGAGTGATTTCAGAAGCTTGACAAGTCTTTTTGACAACTAAAACTGGTTATTTGTTGTCCAAATATCGTAAATCTCTTAATTTTGAAATTAAACTTGTAATCAGTCAGTTAGGAAAGTTTATTAAATATATGTGAGAGTTTTTAGAAGCTTGATAAGTCTCTATGACAATTAGCACTTGTTTATTGCTGCTCAAGTGTCTTAAAGCTTTTGATTTTGGCATTGAACTTGTAATCAATCAGTTAATCAAGTTTCTTAAACATTACTGAGTGATTTCAGATGCTTCACAAGTCTTTTTGACAACTAAAACTGGTTTTTTGTTGTCCAAATATCGTAAATCTCTTAATTTTGAAATTAAACTTGTAATCAGTCAGTTACGAAAGTGTATTAAATATATCTGAGAGTTTTTAGAAGCTTGATAAGTCTCTATAACAATTAACACTTGTTTATTGTTGCTCAAGTGTCTTAGAGCTTTTGATTTTGGCATTGAACTTGTAATCAGTCAGATAATCAAGTTTAGAACATCATCATTCTAGAACAAGTAAAAATTTTTATGAAGAATGCATTTTTCTCAAAATGCCAATAATAAAAAAGTTTTTCCTATTGTAAAGACAACCCGGAGACATACTGTATAGTAATAATTTATCATTGTTAAAAATTCTCTTCTTAAAAATCCATCAAAGTCGGCCCACTAGAACAAAATATATAGATAATTTCCTTATTTTTTTTTCTGGTACCTACCAAGAATTTTTAACTTATAATTTTTCTCCAGCGTCCCCCTGCTAAGACACGTCTCTGGTCTCGTTAAGCACCTCTCTCTCTATCTTCCTCACCTCAGGTACTACCTTCGCGATCTCCTATCTTTGTCTCCAGGCGGGAGAGACCCGCTTATCCCCAACACTCTGTCTAGCTGGACAAACTAGTTTTGCTCGATAAGTCGTGTTGGAAGTACCTTGGTACTCTCGTTGCGTGATCGCGTGCCACTGTTTTCCCTCGTCTATCATCGCACTTGCCATTTTTTCCTCCGATTTTAATAGTACTTCCGTAAAAGTGGTTCCCAGCAGTCTGTGTACCTCAAGGAACTTTGTGCTTTGAATTTGTTGAAAGATATTATTCCTTAAGGAGGCAAAATAGTTAAGAAAAAGGTAAGATTTTGAAAAAAATACAGGTACAATAGCACTGGGATATCCTGTAAATGAGCAGGTGTATGGTACTGATGTAAATAAAAAGCTTAGTGATGGTTTCATTATGATAATAAGACGGTATTCTCGTGGTGAGAGAGGAAGCAGGCGACGTCATTTTGGTTATTTAATTAAATTCCTAGCCTAATTGACTGGTTAAATATAAATATAGCACGAAAATGTTGATTGAATGCTTAAAATACTTCCAAAACGCCTTTAGTCTCTTAATTGTTGTTTTACAAAGTTAATTAAACATGCCTGATAATTTTCAGAAGCTTGACAAGTCTCTAGAATATCTAAAACTTGTTTTTTGTTGTCCAAATAACATAGAGAATTTAATTTTGAAATTAAACTTGTAATCAGTCAGTTAAGAAAGTTTATTAAATATATCTGAGAATTTTTAGAAGCTTGACAAGTCTTTATGACAATTAAAACTTGTTTATTGCTGCTCAAGTGTCTTAAAGCTTTTGATTTTGGCATTGAACTTGTAATCAGTCAGTTAATCATGTTACTTAAACATTACTGAGAGATTTCAGATTCTTGACAAATCTTTATGACAATTAAAACTTATTTTTTGTTGTCCCAATATCGTAAATCTCTTAATTTTGAAATTAAACTTGTAGTCAGTCTTTTAAGAAAGTTTATTAAATATATCTGAGAATTTTTAGAAGCTTGACAAGTCTTTATGACAATTAAAACTTGTTTATTGCTGCTCAAGTGTCTTAAAGCTTTTGATTTTGGCATTGAACTTGTAATCAATTAGTTCATCAAGTTTAAAAAAAAATTGAGAGATTACAGAAGCGTGACAAGTCTTTCTGACAACTAAAACTTGTTTTTTGTTGTCCAAATATCGCAAATCTCTTAATTTTGAAATTAAACTTGTAATTAGTTAGTTAAGAAAGTTTATTAAATATATCAGAGAATTTTTAGAAGCCTGACAAGTCTTTATGAAAATTGAAACTTGTTTATTGCCGCTCAAGTGTCTTAAAGCTTTTGATTCTGGCATTGAACTTGTATTCAGTCAGTTAATCATGTTTCTTAAACATTACTGAGAGATTTCAAAAGCTTGACAAATTTTTCTGATAACTAAAACTTGTTTTTTGTCGTAAATCTCTTAATTTTGAAATTAAACTTGTAATCAGTCAGTTAAGAAAGCTTATTAAATATATGTGAGAATTTTTAGAAGCTGACAAAAGTCTTTATGACAATTTAAAATTGTTTATTTTTGCTCAAGTGTCTCAGAGCTTTTGATTTTGGCATTGATCAGTCAGTTAATCATGCTTCTTAAACATTACTGAGAGATTTCAGAAGCTTGACAAATCTTTCTGACGCTAAAACTTGATTTTTGTTGCCCATATATCGTAAATCTCTTAATTTTGAAATTAGACTTGTAATCAGTCAGTTAAGAAAGTTTATTAAATATATCTGAGAATTTTTAGAAGCCTGACAAGTCTTTATGACAATTAAAACATGTTTATTGTTGCTCAAGTGTCTCAGAGCTTTTGATTTTGGCATTGATCAGTCAGTTAATCTTGTTTCTTAAACATTACTGAGAGATTTCAGAAGCTTGACAAATCTTTTTGACAACAAAAATTGATTTTTGTTGCCCATATATCGTAAATCTCTTAATTTTGAAATTAAACTTGTAATCAGTCAGTTAAGAAAGTTTATTAAATATATCTGAGAATTTTTAGAAGCCTGAAAAGTCTTTATGACAATTAAAACTTGTTTATTGTTGCTCAAGTGTATTAGAACTTTTGATTTTGGCATTGAACTTGTGATCAGTGAGGTAATCAAGTATCTTAAACATATCTGAGAGATTTCAGAAACGTGACAAGTCTTTCTGACAACTAAAACTTGTTTTTTGTTTTTTAATGAAAGATTTTTAAAGTATCTTGCAATTCTATTAGTGTCATTCAATAGATTTTTCTTAGGTACCTTTTTGAAGCGTTATTTGTAAATACAGTTAGCATATTAAATTAATTTTCAAGAAACCCTTTTTGAATAGTGCTATAATAAAAGCTGAGGTAAAATTTTCGCAGGTGTATATCTATCTTAATAAAAATAAACTATACAGAATGGAAATATTGGGGGTAACTATATACCTGTAATTCTATATAAACCTAGGTATCGAGATATAATAGTTTACAAGAGTAGGCTGGCCTAATTCCCGAATGCTGTATTACTGGAATTTATACCAAGATTAAGTAATTTATTTTTAATGGTCTAAGAATAATGAATCTTTGAAGCAAAATCTGAAGAATTAACGCCTTCAACTGGTATATTTTTATGACAGTTCTGTATAAACATATTCATAAAGTTATAAAGATTTTTACCCTACACTTTTTTATTTGAAGATTTAGAACATTTTTATTTATTACTATATTTATTTGTTTACTTGGAAAATTTATTATTCTTGAACCTTGTTTTTAAAAATTCCGATTTTTTATTTTCTTGGGATTTAGGTTCGGGAAAACTCTAATTAAGTTTTCATTAGGTTTTTCATATCTTTATTTCATTTTTAAAAGGAAAAACAAACGTTTCGGCCAAACATTACAGCCTTCATCAGTGTAGTGTCTATAACAAAATACCAATTTCAAATTAAGTTATCATATAGAAACAAGTTTGTTTCTCTCTCCAAAAAAAAAATTAACATAGATTTTTGTGATAACTTAATGCCTCCGTTAGACAAACTATAGTTTATATTTTATACATGACTATGGTTGAACTTTAAATATTATTTGAAAGAATACAATAAGTTTTCCTTATATTTTTTTTATGGGATTTTCGAATTAGCGTTGTGTGGAACCCAATTTTAAAACTATTATTAAACGAGGCATAAAAATAGGTCCACAAAATTCGTGATTTGATTATTTTCGAAGTCAATAAACGATTTTGCATGCTGGGCTCATTGTAATTGCGCATTTTTCGGTCAATTTACGTGTTATAAAGAAATACGATTTTTTATTCTTTTTAGTTCTTCTTGATTTTAATTTATAATTTTATTAAAAAGCCAAAAATTTCATAACCATCGCTGACACCGTTTTTTCGATCATATTGTATTTATGTTATTTATGAAAATCTTTTTTTGGTATAATAAATTAATCATACAATCGAAAAACTCAAAATCAGAATAGAAATAGAGGTTGAACTAAATACACTGAAATAATGACCAACGACAACGTACAGATTGAGGCAGCCGATATAATTACATCCTTCGAAAGCTAAAAAGAATAGGAAGAGCCCAGGGCAGATGATATCCCAAACAATTACTTAAATATGGCGGCCAAAGTCTCATACAGCTGGAGCTAACATCCCTGATTCAAAAAATTCTTTACCAACACAGGATACCCGATGAATGGCGAACCAGCACCACTATCTTGATGTTTAAAAGAGGAGATAAGAAGCTGCCCTCAAACTATAGAGGCATAAATCTTCTAAGCACCACACTAAAACTTACGACAAAAGTGATAACAACCAAAATAAACGACTTAACATGCTTAGCAGATGAACAGCAAGGTTTCAGATCGGGCAGATCATGCACAGACGCGGTTTTTGTCATAAGACAGATAACAGAAAAATCAATCGAATATAACAAACCAGCGTATATGTGTTTTATTGATTTAGAAAAAGCGTTCGACCGTGTGCAGCTAAGAGACGTTGTACACCTTCTTTACAATAGGCAAATCCCACACAACCTCGTTAAAACCATACAAAACATATATGAAGCGAACCAAATTCAAGCTAAAATTAACGGGGTCCTGACCGAACCAATAAATGTAGGCTGTGGTATCCGACAAGGTGACTCCCTGAGCCCTCTTCTTTTCAACATCATTATGGACGAAATAATAGGAAATGTACGTTTACTGAAGGGATACAGTATGGGCGACCAGGAAATTACTATTCTATACTATGCCGATGACGCCGTATTGGTAGCTGAAAATGAGAACGATCTACAGCGCTTATTACATCGATTTAATTGCACTGCCAAATCACTTATTATGATAATATCGACTCAGAAAACTAAATGCATGACGACATTAAAAGTACCACTAAGATGCAAACTGGAAGTCGAGGGCAATGTTATTCAGCAAGAGATGAAGTTTAAGTATCTAGGCATAGAAATCTCAGGATATGGTGATGTAGAAGCGGAGGTGCGAGAACGGACAACGAAGGTAACCAGAATAGCAGGATGCCTAAATGATACAATATGGCGAAATAAAAACATTGAGGTGGAGACTAAAGCGAGAATTTACAAGGCAACGCTACGACCAATAATGACATACACTGCAGAAACTCGACCTGATACAGCGAAAACTAAACAACTACTAGAAACAACCGAAATGAGAGTACTACGCAGAATAGCTGGAAAGACGCTTCTGGACAGGAAGAGAAATGAAAGCATAAGAAGAGCGTGCAAGGTGGAAAATGTAAATGAGTGGGTACTCAGCAGAAAGGAAGAATGGAACGAGCATATCAGCAGAATGGACAACAGAAGGATAGTGAGAGTTGCACGCGACAAATCACCGCTAGGTCGCAGAAGCTTAGGAGGTCCACGAAAACGATGGAGCGACAACTTGTCAGTCTAACCGGTAGAGACGACGAAACCAAACAGGCGATTCGCCTAGTATGAAGAAGGAAGAAGAAGAAGAATCGAAAAACTATTTTTTTCCATAGCAACTGTTAAAATTGCCTTATATCTACCAAAAATAGTAGATAAAATAGTACTTTAACCGCAAGGGTAGATTAAATGATACTTTAACAGCGAGGATAGGTTAAGAACTTTATTTCCTATCGCACGTTTTTTAATTACTTCCATTTTTGAAAATTTTTGTATTCCTTTTCATAAGTTATTCGGGACTTAAATGGAAGTAGTTTGGATATGGCGTTTGTCGCCTCTGCCTGAATATCTGTTGGTAATTTAATTATTTCGTTTTGAGCCATTTCTGGCTCCAATTCAATCAACAATCGACACGAAAGAGAATTAAAAAATATTGACTCAAAACTGACAACTAAAGAGACAGAGACAGTTTATTTATTTGTCAAATTACATAGAAACCAACACCAACCCAGCACAATATTTTTTCTACTCGTAATAAATTCCTTGAAATAATAATTTCTGAATATTTTCTAAAACGTAACTCGCTATGGAAAAAAATATTGTTTTATACACGACGATAAAATTGCATTATCGTCCCCCGAAATTAATCCTTTCCGGTCGACGATAAAATACCATTTTATCGTTTTGTATAAAAAATAACTATTATTAAATTTAAGCATTTTATCTATTATATTAAAGCATGTTTTCCTTTTTTCAGATACACCATGAATCATATCATACCCCTGTTGCTTTCGACGATATTTCTCATACAGTCTGTACTACCCTGCAACGAGGCAGTATGTGGCAGTGTAGTCAGCAAATGCTTGCTGACCGAATCGTCTAATTGCGATTTAATTTTATTAATTACTCCCTGTTGCAAAGGAATTGCCTAAAGATTGTTTGGGATATCTGTATACTGAGTGTTGCTCATGTGTAGGTAGGTACCGATTTCGTTTTGGGCTCAGTGCATGAGCTGGACCAAATGCAAGTCCAGCTGTCAATCGATGGGAGCAGAAAGTTTCAGGTGGTTTCACGACGGTTGCTGCGAATGCGTGGGCGATAAATGCATTAATTACGGAATAAATGAGAGCAGGTAATAATACACACGCTGTACAATATACAGGGCGAGTCTTAAATAAGTGCAAATATTTTTTTGTTGCTGAAATACATCCTCGTACATACTTTAGGTTTACACTTAAACAAAATTTAAGGTTTTTGAAGAAAGTAAGGAAGTCCATCGTCCACTGTAAATTTTCGACATATTTTCGAGAGATTTCAAAAAATATTTCGCACTTCTTTGCTCTTTTTTTACCCCATTATCCTCTATTTTTTATTTTTAGCAGTTGTTGCAGTGATAATGTAATGATTGCAGCATTAATATCTAATTCATCTTTTTTATTTAGGTGCAGTAACTGCCCAGTAAGCGATGAGCTGATTGTCCTGAAAGACAATGACATAGACGAGGATGAACCCGATTTTGGAGAAAACGACGACGATACGGAATACGTTGAAGACTGAGTTTAAATTATTCACCTTCAACATATTAATTTACAAGTATTTATTGCAATTTTTGTCCGGTGCAGTGTGATCGATAAAAACAACGTCGCAGTAGGCTTAGAAATAATATTTTAGTTTGTTAAATGTCAAATCTTACAGTGTGAAAAATATAAATAGTTTTTACGCTTGTTTTTATTATAATTTAATTTTAACGTGCTATGTTATTTCTATGCCTACTATGATACTGTTTTTATTTTATCAAAACATGTAGATACCTAAAATATGTTTTTTACCATACATATGTAGGTCTGAAGTTAACAAACGCAGATCAAATCATTTGAGAGCCATATATGATCTAACAAGATCGCATTTAAATTGGACTTCTTCCGAAATTTATTAACTTTTTGTTGCTCGCGCCCCCTTTGGTTTAATTGAAAATTTTGGGCGGGGTATAAAAATACCCCGCATATTCTGCGTGGGGTGTAAAAATACCCCTCGTATTCCGTGTGGGGTATAAAAATACCCCGCGAGAGTATTGGAGGATTAACTGAAAAAGAGTCAAATTTTAAACCTATCTTAGTATAGTATCCATTGTACTATTTATACTTTATTTTTTATTGTGTTGATTCAAAGAATTAGCCCTATTTAAGAGACTGCTGCTATTGGCTAAATGAAAAAACTATATAATTTAGTTTTTATTTGTGAATATTGAAAGAGTCTTATTTTTTTATCGCTAGTTTTATGCTATATATAGTGTATTAAATATAGACAACTCTATATTTTAAGAATTTAAGTATTTGTATAACACGTTGTCGTTAACAAGTTTTTATATTATTGTCAATATTCGTATATATACAAAAGTGTTTTTATTGTCGCAGTTAATACAGGGCGTGTCAAAAAGTTCGCAACAATTTTTTTTATTTAAGTTTATACGGAATTTCTTATTGTTTTTGACAAGTGATATCTTAAAATTGACGTTTTGTGTGTATATTTTGTATGTGAACCTTTATTTTATGTAATTTGTGGCGAAAATCATACGATTTTTTGGAAATATTCGAAAAAATGTAAAAAATTAATATTTTTTGAAAGTCCCTGTATATTTCTGGATATAAATACGTTAATCAAAATCTATTTAGAAAATATTTTGTTACCTAATGCTCCTTTTTGCTTATGTAAAAATAATTTTTATAATTTGTCATCATAATAATATTCACATTCCAATGTCAAAATTATTTTTTTTTTCTTATAAAATCCTGGGTATTTTACCACTGAAAAAGGGATATTACTACATTGCTAAGGAAATCAACACCACTGCGTAAAATCCTGAAGGAAACCAGCTTGTTTGTGGCTTTTTTACTTGTAAAACAAATTCCCTAAAATAAAAAACGATAAAAATAATTACTGAAAAACAAAAAAATAAATTAACAATATAATAAAATAATTTGGGCAAACCCAGGATTTTTTCAAGAAATTCTCTTTTTGATATTTGACATGCTGAAAATAAACTTTTAATAACTCAGTAATTAAACAAGTTTTCTCATTTGTTGCGATCTTTATGGCACACCCTGTATAAAGACTTTGTATTTTATTCTATTGTATTATTAAAAGTATTTATTGTTCATCTAAATATTATGTAATAATACTCAGTGATTCTTTTTTTAAGTAGTTGCAAAATGAAACACTTTGTATATAATTAATACATACATGGTGTTCGAGAAATACGCCGCTATATTTCGTAGGGTGATTTACCATTAAAATATATGGAAAAACGTTTTTATACATACGGGTCTGATGCGTAGTTTGAAAGAGCATTTTTGTGACGTGTATCATCAGTGTTCACAAGAACATGGACCTAGAGTTTATCACCGAATCATAACGACACTATTTGAGAGGCTGTACAAGGCAAATATACTCAAGGTGGACTCGCTGGTCTCTCTATTTATAGATAAAAAATCATTTTTAACCACCTATATCTTTAAAATTACGAATTTCAGGTCCCAGGTTTATAGGAACTTTTTTTCATATTTTTTTCGATAAGAAATCACCCACTGGAATTCCCTGAATTCGCTTCGAACACCCTGTATATTAGAAACATATATATTGTTTATATAAGTCTTGTAAAAGTAAAAAATAATAATAAAATTATTGATGGATCTTAGTTGAGGCTACAAAATCTCCTTCTGTATATAAATATACTTATTAAGTCTCTACCCAGTGTAAATTTTTGTACATTTTTTTCTAAAACTAATTTAACGAAAATGTAGTAATATTCTTTATTGGATATAGGAAATAAAAAAATCATACAATCACTTGTATATGTTTTATTACCTTTCATGGATACATGTTCACATTGAGTATATATTTTTTACGTTATATAATGTAAAAAAATCCTCTTCGACCAGCAAAGAGATCAAAAACTTACATGACTAGAAACATATAACAAAAATATACGATACAAAGAGAGAATTTTTTCTAAAAATTATAATTTCTATTTAACAACATATTATAACATTACAAATAAATATAAAATATAAAGATAATATCCACAATAAAAAAAATCAAATATTAACCAATATTTCTCCACCAAATATAAAAGCTCCCAGAGAAATAAGTAAACATAGATGGGTTTTAAATTTGTCAGGGACCCTCTATGTTTACGTATTTTTCTGAGATAAAATTATTTGGATATTTTAAGTAAAATAAAGTAATGTTAATTTTAAAGTGATCTACACTTAGACAATCGATTATTAGCGTTACAAGCATTTTTTTTTCAATATATTATGCTGTTAGATATCACATAGATTATAACAAGAAAGATGGGAAGATAAATTTTGAAAATTTGCGAGTAACTTAGAGAGCAAATGATTACATGATTATGTATTGTTTATGTGCAGAGTAATATATCAAAATCTAATAAATTAAAATTTTGCTTTTAAAATTTCATAGTTTAAAAAACTGAAAAAAATAAGTCATTAAAATAAAATGCAAGAATAACTATATCAATTGTTTGCAAACTTAATTGTAAAGAATAAAAATATAGGTAAAATATATTACTCTGTATATGTATAGTATGATATGATACGCATTATAATTTTGATACACCAGATGCCATCTAAAAATTACGTCCAAGACATTATTCAAAATAAATACAATTTCAAGAGATAATTTCTAATATCATTTAAGTAGTTAATATCACATTTATACAGGATATTTGGCAAATTCTGTAAAAATAGTAGTTTTTGCAAATAATACCATGGTAAAACTACAAAAATTACTTAAATATTGTTGTAACGCATTGACATTGGTTTTTAGAACACCCTGTATATATCTACACATTTTTAAAAGTGTATTTTACATCCAAATATTTTTCGTGCATAATATAAATCTTCTATAGTCAATCGTTGACATACCCCGTTTATTTCAACCAAAAAGAGGACACCCGGTATAGCAAACATACACCGAATAAATATGTCGCAATGATTAGTAGACATTTAGTAAACACTTTATGACACCCAAGAATGAAATACTAATAATTGACGATTAAATCTTATCTCTAGAAGGTATTAATATAATAAACTCATATTATAGTACCCAAATAATATAAAATATATTTTTTGATACCATCCAAATGAAAATTATTAGAACTGTCATCAATACTTAATAAAAAAAGAAGTTAAATTTTTTTTGTAAAAACTTTGAATATATAAAAATATTAGGTCCAATATTTACTAACCATCTAATATCTTCTAGAGAAAAAATATGAGTGATATGCCTAGACCACATATACTTTCCTGAATGATACCCCAACCCAAGAATACCCTAGCTATACAGCTTCTTTGAAGTATGCGTCCCAAATTTACTGACTTTTTTTACTACTGGTTTAAAATTTGAGTTTTATAGTTCTATCCACGCAAGTATATATGATCTAGGATATTATACATGGCAGTATCCGTTCAAGTGGGCTTGGGAAAAGGTGAATACCCACTTTTTTCCGTTGGAGGATCGTCGGTGTCGCTGTCATCTTGCGGCTCTTGACTCTCGGGCAACCTGATGAAGGGCAAATGTTCGGAACCGCTCCACATCGAGTACAGACTCGTATGCAGCCTTACGCAATCCTAAATTAATGAAAGAGGTTTTTCATATTGTACCTGTATAATGTTGAGTCAAAAGAAATCAATGCATATGATTAATCTATTTTTTTCGCAAATCTATGCACACACCGCATAGAAATAAAAACAAGTATTTTAAACATGTTTAAAACATCATTACTTTTTGAGACATTTGTATAAAACTGCTTTAAACATAGATATACACTTATTTAAGAAACAATTATAGGCTATTTTTACGCCTTGAAAATCTTTACTAATATTATAAACGCGAAAGTTTGTTTGTATGTATGTATGTTTGTTACTTTTTCACTCAATATATTTTAATGAAACTTTACAATAATATAGCTTATACATCAGAATAACACATAGGCTATAATTTATAAAGATACTAGCGTGTACCAGCGACTTCGTTCGCGTCGAATTAATCATTTGTAATGGTGATGATAAAGCAAAGCAAGAATTCCCATTAACATACAAACTAGATAAAATTTTCTCACATTTATGTCAGCATGAGAAAAAACAATATGGCGATATTATTATATAACTTGGTAATATTTGAGGGGTAGTTTCATCTCGTTGGAATTTGACTTTCGAAAAATCCGTTTGCCAAAAATAAGCTTTTTACGTCAAGCAGTTTAAGCAGAATCGTGGTTAATCAGTTACCCAACTTTTTGGAACACCCTGTATGATTTTTTAAAAAAATTCAAAATATGTAAAAAACCAAATAAATTATGCTTGTCCAAGCGTTTTCCCGAAAGACTAACCGTTTTTTAAATAACAAATATTGTAATATTTGAGGGGCGTTTTCACCCTCTTGAAATTTGAGATTCGGTTTGGTCCCCTCCTTAACCTCTACACCCCACAGACAATCCGTTTGCCAAAAATCAGCTTTAAACGCCAAGCAGTTTAAGCAGAATCGTGATTACTCAATGGTCATATTTTATGAAACACCCTGTATACATTTTTAAAAAATCTTAAAATATGTAAAAAAACAAAATAAAATATATGTGTTTAAGCGTTTTTCCGGAAACTTGACCGTTTTTTAAATAAAAAATATTGTAATATTTGAGGGGTGGTTTCACCCTCTTGGAACTGGAATTTCAAAAAATCCCTTCTTATCGAACCTCTACACCCTAGAATCGACCTGTATGCCAAAATTGAGCTTCTTACGTTGACTGGTTTGAGCAGGATCGTGATTAATCAGTATGTCAGTCACTTAAGGATTTTATATATTAGTATAGATTGTTTGAATTGTCCAAAATATAACGATAAGTGTCAAGTAAGCAGGAAAAAATTCTGCCATTTGCGAGCTATTTCCGCTAGTTAAATATAAAATACAAAATAGAGTACTTACTGGACCACTGCCTTCACTGGTAGATCCTCTTTCTGAACCACTAGCTGTGGACCGACTATGAATGGACAAACAAGAAGATGAATCGGTAGAAGAGCTGCTTTTTCTTGAAGTTAGTGGAGCACCAGACGGGAAGATATCGTAGTGTTCAGTCATTGAGATGCCTGATACGTGAGGCACGTCCACAGATTGCCAGTTGCCTCTAAAGGATCATATACAATAAAATAATACAGCATATTCCATACGTAAGCCTAAACAATCTCTGGATTTTTTTTCCAGAAAACTTAAATATGGCTTTTTGTTTTCACAATTTTTTTGTAGTTTTTTATTATATTGTAATAATATTATTGAAGACAATATTTTTTTATTATTATTATAATACCACTCATAATGTAGGCTAGCCCTCAGATTATAATTTGTAAAAATGATATAATAATAATAAATTATTTAAAAAAAATAAATTTTTAAATTAAATGATATAATTACCTCTGTGATGGGAACATTCTTCTATGCATCCTATCCTCATGTGACTCGCCCCATATAGGAACATAGGAATGTCCAGGTATTGAAGTACCAGGAATAGAAGACCTAGCTGGACGACAAGACAGTAGCTGAATAGCTTCAGCTAAGCCCTCAGTGCTGGGTAAAACCCCTGGACCTGAAGGTACTCCAGCTGCTGTTGAAGTTGATGCCTGAGATGCCACAGATTCTAAAGAGAAAAATATAGCTCCAAAAAAGTTTATAAAAAGGGATAATGACAGAAAAGTTAATAAAAAAGAAGGAAAGTAATTAGATAAATGTAGAAAAACACTAAAGATTAAAAATAAATAAAATAACTCCAAAAGAATTTTAAAGTACTAGGTTAAAAAGTAGAATACAAAATGTGGAGTAAAACTAATAACAAAAAGAGCAAGAATAAGAAAAAGAGTAATTAGTAAAAATAAGAATCAATATAATAGGAATAACAAAATAAATTAAAAACAAATAAAAATGATATATCATTCCAAAAAGGACTTAAAAATAATAAGTTAAAAAATAAAAAAAATTAAACCAAAAACGTATTTAACAAAAAATATAAAGAGTAAGAACCGACCACAAAAAATGTAAAAATAAGGTAAACAGCAGTTAATCAAAATAAAAATCAACATGAATAATATATTAAAATAAAGATAAAATAAAGAAAAAGTAATACATTTCAAAAGAAAAATTTAAAAGTACTCCACAAAGATTGTAAAAAATAGAAAAAATAGCAGTTAACAAAAATGTATTAATAAAAAAGTTAAAGAAAAATCACAATAAAATATAAAACAATAATAAATAAATAATAAGTGAAATAAAAAACCTGGTGTGGTACTTCTGCTTCTTTCTTGAGAACACCCAGCACTCGGTACAGATAATTTTGATGGAGTTGCCTTGGAATGGTTCGGTCCTGTTTCTCCTGGCCAGGAAGTGTCCCAAGGCATTGACCAACGTCTAGCAGTGCCCTCTAGCTTTGTACCTAAATATACAGAGTGTAAATAAGTAAGTGCCAGACAAAAATAAGGAGAATTATTCATTTATATGTCACAAAATTATTACTAAAGGTACAAATACAATAGAAAATAGTACCTTCTGGCTTAACTTCTGTAGCTGCCGCTTCTGACCATCTTCTAGGCCCTCCAAGAGGAAAAAGTGGAAAATGTAGAGGTGATCTCTGACCACCACGACCAGGAAAAGGGAGTTTCATTGTATGCAAAGGTCCAGGAGCAGGAAATGGACCTACAAGAGAAAATTTATGGTTTTTATAGCTAAACAAATCATACTCTTATACCTCTAAGAGTCTCTAAAGGTGCAAAACCTCTGACAGACTCAGAAAAACTATGAATAGGACTAGGGCCTCTTATTGGTTCCTGATACGGAGATGGGCCTCTTGTATCAGCCATAGGACTGTGTTGTTTTGGTCCTTCTTCTAGTCTTGGACTGGACATTTGTGATCTAAAACCATTTGAGACTTAAAACTAAGGCTTTACTCTATTTATCCCAACAGTTACCTTGGTTCATGCTTGCTAAAACATTGCTGTACAGCTGCCATGCTACAATCAGAGTTATGTACCCCTCCTGGTGTGGTCTGGCACGAAGGACACAATGCCATTGAACCAAAAGTTTCACAACTGGCGATGGAAAATTGATATTGCAGATTTATGAAGGTCAGTAGGTTTTCAGTGATGATTTGCTGGTTATGTTCTAGCTGCCTCTGGGCATCCACGTCTAAAATATCAGATCAACTAAAAAAAATATTGACAAGAATGCTTAGAGCATACCAGTAAAGGTGTCTCCAATACTCATATCTTGCATAGCAGCTGCAATATGGTTTTTGACCGAGCTACTGGCAATAGCCGTAGCTCTACTTAGGTCTTCCCAACTTAACATACACTGTGTAGCGATAGGAACATTTTGCATTTGAGATAAGTTGGTTAAAGCTTGTGCCAGTCTCATGCCAGCTGCACACATTGTATTTAACATCTAAATATTTCATATAATGAGCAACTGTACTACCTATATTATATGGTAACTTACTTGTAGATACCCAATCCAACTATTAAGACATTCTGCGGCTGCTACCTTTAAAGTATTAGGACTAAGTTGTTGGGTTTCATACGTCTCTTTACCTTCAGAGGGTTCTGGCTCTCCATGCCCACTTTGATGGGGCTCCCTATTAACAAAAAACAATAAACAAATGTTCTTTATTTGAAATATAAACTACCTTTCCATATTTGTTGTTTATTTAATAATAAGACAGTCGAGACAGGGTATTGCTAAGTGACATAATTGACCTTTTGCAAATATACATGTTCATGTAGTTTTCATTCGTTATTAAAAAGGATAGAAAAAGAATATTTAAATAAAAACAAAGATTAAAATTTTATATTTGGTACGTAACCTCATTTTTAGTTGTCAAAGTCATTGGCACAGAATAAATAAATATGTAAAATGTAAATTATAATTATATATTTTCTGTGGTCATAAAAGATAAGTTTGAAAGCTTCTTAATAGATGTCGCAACGTAAATTTTTAATATAAAGTTTGTATATTTGGTTGCCTAACATATTTGCATTAAAATTGATTTAAATAAGAATTTTTTAATTTATGTTTATTATTCCTTATCTTTATTTTATTAAATTTATTTACTGATACATGTAAATTTTAATTTTATTGATGGATATAATTAGTTAATAAAAGAAAGGGTAATGATGGAATAAATGATACATATCTGAATTAATATAATTAATTTATTGTTTACATATTTTTATCATATTTTATTTATTTTTTTCTGGATCTATAGTGCTGTAATTCTGGTGAATCCATAATTTTGGTGAAGTAGCGTCACAGAAATGGCTGACTGGTCCAGTAAAAACCTGTAAAAATTAGAATTATTATTATATTTCGTATAAAAAATAATACAATATCTGACAATATGATCGAATAAAAACGGCGTTAGCGATGGCTATGAAATGAAGATCGCTGTCATTTTATATGGAAAATTATATGGGGAATGTCATCGATCGTCATTTATAAGCCAACTGGAAGCCGTTTTTTTTTGGATCAACAATTACACAGAAAATCCAGAAAAGATCTAGTGGTGCTTAAAATTTTGGCAGAAAATCTTTTTTTTTTTGGAAATTTTCAAAGTAAAATAACTTGGTTATTTTGGACTTTTTTGAAAAACGGCAAAGAGAAAATATGTTTCTTTTCTCTAGATCTACCAGTCCTGAAAATCTCTGCACTTATTTAAGACTCACTCTGTATATATCGCTTAAAAACATATGAGTAAAGGTCAAAGACAACACAATTATACTTGTAAGTAAAAATTTATGTTTTTTTAGGATATTATATGTCTTACAATGACCCGAAATATTAGCACTTTTAAAGGAGTCCTATGAAGAGACAACCCTATTTCCAGAGATCTTGTCTACAGGTATGGAAACAGTACAATCGAAAAAAAAAAACGGCGTCAAAGACAGTTGGGTATCGATGACAATTTTGGCGAGGTCGAGTCCTAGACTTGGTCTTTACTCTTCTTTATTTTTAATGGCAATTTTTAATAAATGACTAGAAATTGATCTCGCCAAAATGTTTATCGATTGTCATTCCCCATCCGTCTTTGACGCCGTTTTTTTTCTCTCTCGATTATATGGTATTAATAATACATCCAAAGCAATTTAGTTTCACAAGAAATAATTACAAATTTATTATCGATTGGCCTTATTTTGTCTTTTTTTATCTTGACACTGTGTATTCAAGTACCAAGTACCTGCTTTTATTCAAATAAAATAGTTCTTTAACTGAAATTTCTTTGAAATGTAAACAACAACATTGCAAGATATAAAAAAATGGACAACAGTTGTCTCAAAAATTATTAATATTTCTTTCAGCCAACAAAATTCACCTACGCCCATGCTCCGCATCGATTCTATTCACCGTCTTCCAGTGGCGTTCCGCCAATGGGGTTCATTCCCACACTCTCCGCGGTTCTATTGTTCTGTGTGACCCCTTTTTTCCTTTCTTTGTGTTCGGAGCAAAGCTGCACGCTAACTGGACATCCTGCCCCGCTAGTATACTCTGTGGCCATTGGTCGGACGGTCGCCATCTTGGACGGCCTGTCCTTTACCGACGAGCGTAGGGGGGAAACACCGTGCTAGGGGACCGTGTGGTGAAAGGGGACACGACACAAAGGGGACAGTAGTGCGTTAAATTCGAGGGAAACGTTCTCAGGTTTAATATTGATGTATTGAAAGCAGAGAATTCGTGATTTTATCATTCAGAAATAAATGTACTTAGGTATGGGGTTCAACTCAATGATAAAAAATGTTAATTTAACATTTAAACTATAATAGTTCAAAAATAACATATTTGTTGCGGGACGCATGAGTTTTGCAGCTTGAGACAAAGTCGAGAGCTGCAATCATGCCGAGTGAACATTTTTTCTACAAATCGAATCAAAATTCTTATTTAAATGTTTATTAAAAATATTTTACAGTAATTCACAGAATAATATTAATACTAACAACGACACTTTTATTTTTTTTAATAACTTTTTTTTGAGTTCATTTTTATTTTACTGTTGCAGTTTGAAAAATTTACTAAGGTACTTGATGGACAGCAAAAATTTTGACTTGTAAAACAGTAGATAGTGTAAAAATTAGCTACTTTTTGCACGATCGTAGAAAAAAGTTATTTTTACTCTGAATAGAACAAGCTATTTTTTTTTCAAATGCCACAAATACTTTTTTAAACAACTTCGTACGTTGCAAATAATATAAAAATATATAAAAGTCATATATCTTGTAATTATATATCGATAAACCATGGTTACGCTCGTTGAATTTAACACTTTATATGTCATTTAATAATACTTTTCCTTAATTCCTTGAAATTATTATTTTAAGAAATTTATTACGAGTAGAAAAAATATTGTGCTGGATTGGCGTTGGTTTATCTGTAATTTGACAAATAAATATAATAATTCGCAACCGAAATGGCTCAAAACGGAATAAGTAAATTACCAAAAAGATATTCAGGCTGAGGCGACAAACGTCATATCCAAACTACTTCCATTAAAATCCCGATTAACTTTATGAAAAGGAATACAAGAAATTTTCAAAAAATGGAAGCAATTAAAAAACGTGCTAGAAGAAATAAAGTTTTTAGCCTATACTCGCTGTTAAAGTATCATTTAATCTACCTTTGAGGTTAAAGTACTATTGTATCTAATATTTTTGATAGATATAAGACAATTTTAACCATAGATAAAAGAAAATAATCCTGATTTTTAACAGTGAAGCTATTGAAAAAAACATATTTTTAAATTAAAATTAATTTTAATCTATTTCAGTCACAACAGCGGCGTGCGGTCCATGGAAGCGGGGGAAGCACCGCGTCCCTAAACTTTTTAAAGATAAAAAAAATAAATTGTTAAACGTTAATAATACTGTTATTTTATAACAAAAGATTAATTTAATTTGTTAAAAGCGATCTTTCGGCCGCCTTCCGCGATTTTTAATTTATCGGGACGGGTTCGCTTGCGATTTTATAGGTAATATTGTATTTTTTCGGATTTAACTTAGTGTTTACTGTGTCGTTTGTAATGGAGAGACTAACATGTCCAGAGACTAGCATGTGTTTGCATCACAGGAGCCATGAGAACCTGTCCAACAGCAGCAATGGAGGTCATTCTAGATCTAACACCACTACACATTGTCATTGGTAGATATGCCAATGCGACAATGATTAGAATGGTCACTAACGGAATTTGTACTGGGAGAATTGTCAGACCAGGGGCTTGGAACACCCTCAAAAAGGAAATACCACTCCTGCAACTCCCAGTGGACGATATGCCAAGAACGTACAACTTTGACAAACATGTCAATGTAGTATTGAGCAATAAGAAGGATTGGAAGAGCGAAACGCTTGCCCAGCAGTTAAAAGACCATACCATAACTTGGTATCCTGATGCTTCCAAATCCAATACGGGAACAGGGATCGGAGTGTTTGGGCCGAGAGCTAATTACTCCGAACCAATGGGCCCTAGTATCCTACAGGCAGAAATCTACGCTATCGAGAGATGCGTACAACTTATCTTAGATAGGAACTATCGGACACAAGAAATAGCCATCTTATCTGATAGTCAAGCAGCGTTAAAGGCGATCAACTCAGTATCAATCGATTCGAAATTGGTCAAAGAATGCTTAGAGAAGCTGAATAAATTAGGCAAAGAAAACAAAGTCCTCCTACACTGGGTGCCTGCTCACAAAGGGATAGAAGGCAATGAAAAAAGCAAATAATCTAGCTAGGAAAGGAGCGAACACTCCACTAACTGGACCAGAACCGTTCTGCTTTCCAAGTGGTAACCAACTCAAGGCGGAACTCAAGAACTTGGAAGATTCCATCTGCAACCTGGAATGGAAATCTTGCAATGGTCTAAGACACTCGAAGAAGTTTCTGAGGGCTTATGATCAAGAAAAATCACAGATCTTTCTGAGTAAGAACAATCTTCGGATTGTCACGGGGTTTTTAACAGGACACTGTCTCCTCAATGGACACCTCAGTAGATTGAAACTAAGAAGAAACGGCGAATGCAGATTCTGTGGGAAAGATGGGGAAACACCAGTACACCTCATCACTGAGTGCGCCGAGACGACAACCATTCGTGCCATGAATTTTGGTACGACTGATATTGGAGATGGAGAACTACCCTCTATAAAACCGTCCCAGATACTGGCTTTTATCAAAGCCCTGGGACTGTATGATGAGTTATGATTCAAGAAAGGGGGACACAATGGATCTGTAAGGTCGAAGTGATTAACCCCCCTCCCACTCATTCTAAATTCTAAATTCTAATTGTAATGGAGGGTCAAGAAGGACAATCTTCTGCTTCTGCTAGTGTGGACAGTAATTTAGTTTATTAAGTTTTTTAAGAAAATGTAAAAGTAATGTCTCGAAATAGTGTTTTTTACCGATTCGCTTCCCCGCCTATAATTGCCACCGCACGTCGCTGAGTCACAAAGAACCTTTCAAAAAATTAGACCAAATACATTAATTCACACAATAAACGATTAGTTAAGATTACATCTTCACAAAAATAACTATGCCATTTCTTAAATAAATACAGTATAAGATACAAGTAACAACATAAAAAATAACATTCGCAACATGTTTAAAATAAAGTCCTACAAAACCCAGAAAACAAATTGCTATTGTCAATTTTCAGGCGGCTTCTTGGAGACGAAGGATTTAGATACCCAAATCTCTGTAAATTTCGAAATCCCATAGATTAACGCAGTCACATGTTGAGAGGGAAGCCACACTTTCCACATTTCAGTATCTGTTTTTCTTTGTACAAAGAAAATAATTGAAAAAATAAGGAACTCGTAGCTCGTAGGTAAGCATATTTATTT